CAGGGGAAGATAAACGTGATCCGCGCAGCTTGGCGTTAATCTGCTGTCCGCTCCGTTAAGGGCAGGTCACCCAAGCGGCAGAGTCTGTCTCTTAATGTACCAGAGTAGCAGTAATGCCCTGGGCCTGAGGAGATGCACTCTACCTGCACAGATGGCTCGGTCATCTCCTCTCTCACTGGAGCAGCTCCCCAGCCTGGATCAGATTCCACACATCTTCACATCAGTCTCTCCCAGAACCGCATGACCTCTGTAAACGAGACACTCGACAAAACGGGGGCACAAACCTCGAAAACATGCAGGTCTGAATGAGAAAAGAGTTGTGCAAAAAAATCCGTGTTCCTCCTAGACGGCCGATGCTTTGGCCTGGGCAGCACCTTGAAACAGCGGACATTCCAGCGCAGATCGCAGGAGTGTGCAGCGGCCTGGAGGGACGGCCCGATTTCACACATGCGGCCCTCGGGGGTGGGCGGCTGCCGTCAATATTCACACCTCTCCGCGTCTGTTTCAGCTCCTGTCAGGCCATTCGCAAAACAACCGAAACACAAACGGGAAAAACGTCTTCGCCGGTTGCAGTTCTGCCAGAAAGTGTGTGTGTGTGCATGGAGGGGGGGAAGAAAGTCTTTAGAAAAATTAAATCAAAGAGATTCTTAAAAATACAGCTCACAAAGCATTTACTTTTCCCATCAAACAGAGGTTCTGGAAACCCCAGGAGGGTATTGCTAAACTGAGAGGAACTGATCGACTCTACCATCATAGTGTTCTTGAACAAACTCTAGTCATCCTCGGAAAATAACAGACATTTATAGCCTATATAGGAAGAAAAACAACCCATATATGATACAGAACACTTCTCTCTCTGGGCGGCTGTTCTTTACCTGCAGTGACTTGTGCGAAAGGTAGCTGCATCTGGTTAACTGAGTGTTCATCAAGGTATAAAGAATAAGTGATGTGCAAGCAAAGGAGTCAAGCATGCCTCTGTTCCAGTTACACCCAGCTGCGGATCCTGTCCGCACACAATCTTCCTGATCTGCAAGCGCTGAGGTTGAGTTGGACATAGAACTGACATTAAGGGCCTAAAATGAGAAAATTAAAAGTGTTATATTCAATTGTATTAGTCCCTATAAAACTATGTACTTGCCACATTTCATAAATGCCGTGGATAAAATCTGTAAGGTATCTGTCTGCCACACTGGAACCAAGCTGGGTGTGCTCCTGGGAGGCAGGCTGTGGCAGGAGACTATACTGGTTCAAGCACAGGCAGAAAACAGGCAGATGTTACAGCAGGGGAGGAAGAAAAACTGCTGTTTGTTCTTGAAACAAATCGCCTTAAAACAGGAAAATGTTAACAGTTCTAACTCATGGCTATATGTTATTTTTTAGCTTAAAATTCCCTAGTTAACGAGGATTATGTTATTCAGCAGTTTTTTTCCCCCCAGAAGAACACTCTGGTTTCTTTAGGAAAGCAAATACAGTTGGCTGAAACATAAATCATGCGAACTGTCTGCGCGGCCAGGCAGTGGTGGTGAGCAAGGAGTGGAGAGAGGGCAGGGACACAGGGAGCGCTCAGAGAGGGCTAATGGACTGCAGTCTGTGCCATTACTGCAGCCCCTGGGGCAGCGCGCGGCTGGGACAGACAGCACACGGCTCGCAAACCAAGACCACAGCAGCCTGAGAGAACGCCGACCGGCCGCGTCCTTCCGATCTGCAGCCCCATTTCAATGACTTGTCCAATTGTTTACCCAAGTTATCAGGGCAAAATACAATCGCCCCGCGGGGTGATTAGAGGCTAATTAAAACATCCCGTGGGTCTGAGGCTTCTGTGAAATCAGTCAACATGTGGATTCCGCAAACAAACCTGTGAAGCTATTAAAGAGCGTCTCTCTTACAACGTATCCACTGAGCTCGTCACAGAACACACACTGCGTTTGTACATGTACATGCTGCTCGGGATTTGGTCATACAAAGCCCTGTATTGTACCAATAATCCCGATGCTTGAGCATCACCTTCATAGATCACCCTAAAACCAACAATTAACACAGACTCGCAACACGCTTTTTTAAACACAGGTAGGAAACAAACTATTGAAGTAACTCAGCAGTGGACTTGTTTTATTCCAAAGGATCTTGCATTGAACAAGTGACCACATTACTCCATGTTTCCACACTGGAGACCATAAAACCTGTGGGAAAGGTACTGTGGTCGACACAGAAACCCCAGAACTCGGCAGCTGTCGCAGGCATCTTGCAACACGAAGTGGGAGCCGGGGTGACAGATCTGAAGGCCCGCCACGCGCCAGGCTGCAGAACTGTAGAGCTGTGACGCAGTGGATCATTAAGAACAAATCCGTTTCCCAGGGCATGGTCTGGAGGTGGCTTTTAAAACCGGCAGCTGGGAACGGAGCCGGGCCCGTGTCGAAAGAGAGCCCCTCTTCTTGCACGTACTGCAATTCTCACAACGGCTAACTTTCGGCATCAAAATCATCTCCGTTCAGCTGAAATTTGTTGTCCTTATTTTATAGCAATTTAGCACCTTCCCCCCAAACCCCTCATTCTTTTTGCTTTTGAAGCTACCACCCTGACCTACTAACCCCTGCCCTAGTCATAAATAACCCCCGATGCTAGGAAGCCTGATTGTTCGATTTGAATGTGAAATGAACCCGTTAAGCATGAAGACCTGGGCAATGGGCAGGGTATCTCCACTGTGACCCCCAGCGAGGAGCTCCACGAACACCAGCCCTAGGGCTGGGAGCCTTTCGAGGCCCAACTTAACTTGGACTTGAGAGCAGAGGCATTCGCATAAGAAACGGAGCCCAACCTCGCTTAGCATGACAAAGAGCCGACCATCTCTGCTGATTGGTGTCACGGCTCACACTAAAGACGGGCAGCCCTGCACACATGCTAATGGGCTCGGGGTGTGAATTTCAGGAGGGTATTTGGGGCTGGGGTTGTGGAAGGGGGGGGTCAAACTACAGAGGAGCAAAGTGCACATATCAAAAACAAAAGAAAAGGGCGGAATTTCAGAAAACGTACTCTTTTTAACCCTTCCCCCCCCCAGAATGCACACATAATAGATCTGCTGCTGTGTTCGGGTTCAAACCCAGGATCTAATTCCTTCAAAGGTTTTCTTGGAATGTAAAGTGAAATGCAATATTAAGTATTGCCAGCAGTGAGAATATGTTCAGGTGGGGAGCTGCGTCAGCATGCGTAGGCTGCAAAGGAACAAGTAATTGGTTTATTCCATGCTGAAAAAAAGAAGAAAGAGAACACAACGTTTCGGCCGTGGAGCCTTCTTCAGGTGTCCTTCAGGTGTCCTTCAGGTGTCATAGTGAGAATATGTACATGTGAAAATACACGAAGGCACCATAAAAGCTGTCTCAGCCAGGCGCACTTGCTTGTGTCTCATCTGATCAGCACAATCCGGCCTGCTCAATTCCTCTGGACGCACTCTTATAAAAAGCACCACCTTTTTTATTCCAGCAGGTAAGTCAACTGAGAACAAACTCTCCTTTTTAAAATGTGAAATGTGCCCACGTGATGTGAAATAGGTCAGATGGGCAATTTGCCCACGGGGAAAGTGTTCCCATATCCAGTTTAAAACGGTCATGTGTTCTCCTGCAAAAGTCATGCAGGTACCGTAAAGGGACTGGAGAACTGTCAATGTGGCTGGCTTCAGTGTAACACTAACACAGAGCAAAGGCGATGTCATGGATAAATGACAGCCAAACAGCAAACAAAAGGACCATAAAAAACAATACTTAGGCACAGACACCATAGTCATTTTCTGTTGGGAATTCATTTTTTTGCTGGGTTGATATTGTTTTTCAATTTATTAGTTTAATAGTTGTTTTCCAGGGGTGCCATCACATCTACTCACAGAAACCTCTAGGCCGTTATGCCCCCTCTACTTTTCAGGATCTAAACATTAGTGAAAAGGTACGAGAATGAATGAAAATCTTTGCTCTACAAAACTAAAAGAGCGGAGGTGGCTTCAGGAGACCTGGCCCGCAGTCGTCTCCGTTCTCTGCCTCATCAGTGTGTTCACACAGACACTAGCGCTGCCCTCTCCAAACCTGTTCCCCATGCTAATGCCCTCTGCAGGAGCTGCTGCCCCCTGTGAAAACTGGCCAGACAGCCTCCAAACTCAGGTGCCGGAGCATCGCTCCTTGGGTGTTCAGTTGCCGAAAGGGCAGAACCTGACGCCGGAAGATTCACAAAAAAATTACCAAAAGAAATGAATGCCCTTAAACACTCATTGAGATCTTATCTGAAAAGCTGCAGCTCCCGTCCTAGTTTGCTTGCACGCTATGATCGGCAGTATTATCAGTACCAGGATATTGCATTTTGTGCGTGGTATTTTTGCTGCTTTCACCAAGAAAACAAAAGTGGCTTCACTCCGTTCGTTCCGTCCGGTGTGTAAAAAACACACACCTAACCAACGGGCCTTGATGGCCTGCTCTTGTTTCTGACAGTGAAACACGACCTGCAAGTCACAAGGGAAGCTATGTAGAAGTGCATTCAGACCCGAGAACAGGAGACACTCTTTACACAAAGGATTGCAGGAGCCAGCTATATTGTTGTAGTTGAAGCCCCAACCTCTTTCATGAAATGGAGAGACAGTTGGATCAGTTAGCTACTAACTACCAAATGGGCAAGACAGTTTCTCTTGTTTGAGACCTTATACACTGACCTTTTTTATGATCTTCTGTTCTAAAATGGTCATTATCAGTCCACAACTTTTTTTTTCCCCCCGTTAGATAGCTTCCTTTGCAAAACAGGCCAACCACCGAGGATAAGGAGCTTTAAAGTAAAGTCCACTCCCTCTAAGCTGCTGAGCTTAAATATCCTTCCTTAGGCTGGCCTGAAAACAATGGAGCTGCTGCTCCATTACTGTGAGGCTCTGTGCCCCCCCCACCCCAAGTTGGAGACAGACACAGCGGAGAGGGCAGGCTGCAGCCCTAGCCTTACTGGGGCCAGCGGTGTCCCTCTAGGACAAATTATGAAACAGAAAAAAAAAATGACAAACTGACAATGGCAACTAATCAATATGTGACACAGTGAGCACAAGTGCACAACGCTAACGTGCCACACTGCGGCCCGGCGCAGAGGAGGCCTCGACAGGCGCCGGCCGCGGACAGCAGGGAGGAAAAAACCTGGCAAAAACAGGGAAGAGCCTTCCGGAGAAGCAGCAGGTAAGAGCTGGCGCCGGAGAGCTGGAAAGGGAGCCGAGGCAGGCAGGCAGGGTGGAGCACGCAGGGGTTTCTTTCAGTTCCTAGCCCTCGGAGGAGAGGTGCTTCCCTGAGCTGCGCACACCTCCTTCCTCACCCGGCGGCACAGGCAGACCTTTCAGAGAAAATTGCTCCTCCGTCAATCTAGTGTGCAACTGTCAGGCCCAGTGGCAGTGCGGGCTCCTTCACGCAGCCTGCACTGAGCGCTAATCGATATCTGCGCCCCAGCTGAGGAGGCGCAGCTCCTCGCCCACCACAGCCCCTCACAACCCCTCCGCTGACCCTCAGACCCCATTGTGTCCTCAGAGACAGAGAACAATGTCCCGAACATATCACACCGCATGGGCTCCAGCGCAGAGACAGTTTTGTCAAGCTCGGACAATCTATTCCACCTCTTCCGACCTATTGTAAAATTTGCCCCATTTTTTCCTTGGGAAGGAGGGGAAAAAAAAGGTCTTTAAAAGTAGGTTACCATACCAAACGTTGTACATGTCAATTTCTGCTTCTCCAGTCTGGGGGAAGAAATGATCTTGGGTTGTGCTCATTTTTAAGAAGGCCACCGAAACCATGTCATACTGAGCATGGGCTCATACATGGGCAACTGAGCACCTACCGCAGTAACAGAGGCAGGATTACGCCCTGGCAACACTGTCAGTACATCACAGGGCTCGCATGAACAATTTAGACATGCCAGTTAGCACAGCCACCGTAGTCTCCTCCCACCTTCCAAAGACACATCACCTGGGCAAACCCCATGTGAACATGCTGAGAGCATGCAGACTCCACACAGAGGGCTCCCCAGTACAGAATCACACCCCAAGCCCAGACACTGTGCCACACAGGCCCAG